TACACCCCACACCCACACCCACACCCACACCCACACCCACACCCACACCCACACCCACACCCACACCAACACCCACACCCACACCCACACCCATTATAATGTACATTATTTCAGAAAATCGGGTACATGAGCCGGATCATGGCAAGCTATATTCACCCTCACCCTCTCACCATTCTCGTAGCTGGGGACGAAACCGGTCATGGCAGCTCTTCGCATTTCTACTCACCCTCAAGATAAGAGATTCTGAACATGGACGATGAAGATTGTGTGAGCAGCAGTCGAAAGGTGTCCTGTGATGCTCTGAATCTCTGACACTTCTTATATGACCTGTTTGGTTCGATAAAAAGTTTTCTTTTAAAGTGTGGAGTCGTATGCGGCTATTTTGACATTGGATGTAGACACAGAAACAACTTTTATTCTAAATATTCAGAAATATATCCACTAAATTATTAAAATAAGACAGTTATGCTCAAGGAATGATTCTGGAAGAACAGACTAATCATATTAAAGGTCTAAAGCTGTTTATATTGTTAATTCGTTTAAAATGTCCCATTGATGTTTACTGTTCAAAATCGTATCATTATATCCACCATTAATTAACACTTTCCATTTGTTAATACCAGTGTTTTACAATTACTTCGGGTATTGTTCATTTTATCGATAGTTGCCGAAGCTTCTGTCGATGGAACATACAACTCAGCAATAGGATCAGCCTCATCACCACCAGCAACTAAAACATTTCCATCTGTTAATATGGATGCTGTAAACCCCCCGACACATTAGAAGACCCCCCACCCCTGTGGCAGAGATGGCCCTCCCTTGAATCAACGAAGTGAAGGATAGATGAGAAGACCCACCCATCTCCTCTGACGATCCCCTTAGAAGCAGGTGAGCAGGTCCTCTAATCTATCCTTTGGGTTGTTGATTCAAGAGAGGTCATCTCTACTATAGGGGTGGGGGGTCTTCTAATGTGTCGGGGGGTTTATGCGACTCTCGTGCATTACTCATACTACCAGCAGTTGTCCAAGTTCCTGTTGCTAGATCATACAACTCAGCACTATTTAGAAAAACCTCACCATTATCTCCGCCAGTAACTAATACTTTTCCATTCGTTAGCGCGGATGATGTATGCCCTTTTCTTGCCTCATTCATGCTTCCAGTAGTTGCCCAAGTTCCTGTCAATGGATCATACAACTCAGCATCATATAGGCTACCACCATTATACCCGCCAGCAACCAATACCTTTCCATTTGTTAGTACGGATGCTGTGTGTAAACTTCGTCCAATGCCCATACTACCAGTAGTTATCCAAATTCCTGTTGATGGATCAAACAACTCAGCACTGTTTAGCATAGGGCTATCAGATCCTCCAGCAACTAACACTTTTCCATTTGTTAATACGGATGCTGTATGCCATTGTCGTCGATGACTCATACTATCAGTAGTTGTCCAAGTTCCAGTTGATGGATCATATAGCTCAGCACTGTTTAGAAAAACCTCACCATTATTCCCGCCAGTAACTAATACTTTTCCATTTGTTAATACAGAAGCTGTGTGAGAACTTCGTACGCCACCCATGCTACCAGTAGTTGTCCAAATTCCTGTTGATGGATCATATAGCTCAGCAATATTAATAACACCAGCAGCGCCATTTTCACCACCAGTAACTAACACTTTTCCATTTATTAATACGGATGCTGTGTGTAGATGTCGTGCGTTATTCATGCTATCAGTAACCGTCCAATTTCTTGTTGATGGATCATACAACTCAGCACTATTTAGAGCAGGATCAAAGTTATTGTCACCACCAGTAACTAGCACTTTTCCATTTGTTAACAAAGATGCTGTGTGCTGACTTCGTGCACTATTCATACTACCAGCATTAGACCATCCTAGATAGAATCATTTCAATTTACTCTAGCTGGAAAAAATGTGTATTGAGCTACACTCAAGTAGTGGCGTAACCAGGAAAACTTACAGAAGGGCAATGCCCTTCAAGCATTTGATGTGATGAAAGAAAAATTTATCATTCGATGGGGAGCATCTACAATTGACCAAGGTCGGCGGTGGAGATTGGAAGATGGTTACAAGCTTTGCCCATCAAGACAAACATTAATTGTATTTGCATCCTATAGTGTACGAATATCTGGTTGTTCCTAACTGGTTCTCATGCAAAAATGTCGATGTTCGAAGAAATCCATAAAATGGCACATAGGTCGGAAGAATGTTTCGTGCAACAGATTTTTGCAGACTCAAGACAGAGTTTCTATTTTTCTATTATAACCTTTTTGGAGAGAGAAATATTATCCGATGAAATCCATAAATTTCTCAGGGATTTTGCTGTCACAGGCATCTCTGCTGGCGAATAATATTAAAAATGTAGTTTTTCAGATAGAAAAATCTCTTTGCAATCAATTTAGAAAAATGTCTCTGTTGCAGACATGCAGACATATTATTTTTCTACCGAGAACCCGCAGAAATATGAGCATTATTTAAATCTAAAAATTTTGAAAAATTTTAAAACACCATAGATATCTGTTTCGCAGGACTGATGAAGTTGCTCTCCGAATATTGATAAGGAAAAATCGAGGTTTCTGAAGTCTCAAATTTATTATTTCTTCGAAAATGACTCCCTTGACGGGACCAGAATTTCTAAGCAGATCCCATCTCGATCCTATAAGCTCTCAAAAATTGATCCCACACATTGCTGTTTTCAAGTTTTTTGCCGCTGAAGGCGACCGCATTCACGGCGATTGTTAAAAAAGGTAGTTCTTATTTCCCATGTCTCGAAAAGTTACATGTTGCCTAAGGTCACAAACATAATATCTAAAGGTAGATAAATAGAAAAGTGCATCGTATTTCAATCAAAAACTTACAGAGGGGACAAAACCATTTACAGAGGGGCATTGCACTCTCGTGCACCCCGGTGGTTACGCCACTACATTCAAGACAGTGTGAATAGGCGTAGAAGGTTTCAGACTTTGTAGAACAAAACTCGTTTCTCAGTTTTAATACGAACTTTGTTGAACCTATGGGATGGCAAAAGGTGTTCAATCTTTTCCAAAAAATCAGAAATTACTCATGATATGGTACGGCACTAGGCTTCGAATTGTTGATAGAGAGTAGTACACATACTAGGTCGGAAGTAGTTATAGTAAGTGAGCCAAACACGTCAGCCAATGAAATGTGGTTCACTTCATATAGAGACAACGAGCCAATCAAAATGTGAGTCCTTACTTTACCGTGATCCAACCATCTTCTGTTCTCATTATAAACATGCTGTCGAAACATCATAACTAGAGGTATAACAGTTGGCTAATAGTTCTAGCCTGAGAAACTGGTAAAAAACAGCTATTGGAACTGGATTGTCTGGAAAATTTTTGTTCCCAAAACAAAACAATAATACCTAATACCGGAAATGCCATTTCCATAATAGAATAGCACACCTTAACACATTGGGCACGATGGGACCCCCTGGGGAGGTCCGACTTAAAAAAGTTGGATATGTGCACTTTGATCTATGCATATGAGATACTAGGTTGGCCAAAAAGTTCTGCAATACTTGCGAAAAGTTGATTTTTATGCGCAAATTTATTTAAAAACAATAACAACTACTCTTCAAAATAAAGGCCATCGTTTTCAACAATCTTTTGCCACCGATCTGC